CTAGGTCTCCTCAAGAACGCTGCTATTACAGACATACATTTTGTGAAAACCTGTGGAGCTGCTGGCAGGTCAAAAGGAAGCACAGTGAACTGGTAATGAGAGAGCTTCACTATGAACATGAGAAACTTTCTGTGACCTGGATAAATTGCCACATGAAAGTATGTATCTCTTAAATCAAGGGTGGCATACTAGTCTCCAGGATCTAGGGAGGAAATAATGGAAGCCAGTGTGACCATACAAAACTATCTTTATTAGATATTTGTTGAGCTGGTGCAGGTCTAAAATTGGTTTGAGATCTTTGTTTTTGGGATTAGGAAACAACAGGAATAGAACCCCCTCCCTCTGTGACGCTGCTGAATCTCCTCTATGGCTCCTCCCTGAAGGAGAGATGGATTAGAAGACTGCTAATGAGAGTGGTCCCTGAAGAGTGATGTGGAGGGAGAAGAGGACAGAAATAAATTGGAGACTATATGCCACTTCCACAGTGCTTAAAACCCAGTTGTCTGAGGTAATCTTGGACCAAGTGCTGAGAAAGTGGGGCAGGTGATTTGCAAATCTGGGGAAAATGGAATTTTGAAAACTGGCGTGGTGTCCATGAGCAACCCATCAAAATGCCTGCTGAGCACCCTCTGGGTGTCTAGATGGAGCAGGTGTTGATGCAGAGGCAGAAGGAGGAAGAGATCTACATCTATAACCCCCACATTCTTCTTTCTCTGCAAGTCTTGCTAAGGAGCAGGAGCAGAGTAATGGTGGGTCTGCTGTGGATGGAAGTGCTTGCTGGATAGGGTTGGAGCATACAACCCCAGAGACTTTAGAGTTGTCCTAGAATCTTCCAATCTGTGGAGTTCAGAGTCAGTTTGCTGCAAAAACAATGAAGACCTTTCAAAGGGCAGGTAAAGGCCATTGGACCTGTTGTGGAAGCCCCGAGGATCACAGCCAAGAGCTCCTGTGCCCTGTATTGGGCTCAGGAATATGTGGTGCCTGATGAGTAGGTGCATCATGGCCCTCTGAGTAGAAGAGGAACATCTTGTGTATGACTTAAAACCAGGGGGAAACCTCACAGATTCCAAAAGGGCCACTGAACTATTGGTGGGCCCCAGTGGCCACCCACATGATGGTACCGAAGTTTCGCTTGCAGGGTAGTAGTACCTCAGTGGAGAGTAGTGAGAGTGGCTCTAAGGCTGGAAAACACAGGAGCCAATCTCCCATTCATAGGAGGATGACTCTCCCTCTGCTGACCAAGGAGGGGCTGCTCCCGATGGTGCCGGAGACCAGTGCCAAGTCAGAGAAGGATGCAGTGCAGCCAACATTGCAAGCCTCCCCTTTAACAGTACTGGTGGACATACAGTTTGAGGCAACAGTGGTTGATGTGGGACTGAATGCTGCATCAATATTGCTGGCACTCCCATGTGTGCTGGTACTCAGAGTGCAGTCTCCTGCGCCGTAGAAGAAACCAGCACTGAAAGGTTGAGCAAATCTTTTGCTGATGCAAATGCCTCCAGCATGGTCGGTACTGAGATGGTCTTGGGATAGTGTAGGGTCACAGATGTAGAAGGTGCACCCGCAGGCTCTGGACTTGACAGCACCTTCCTTGGTGCTGGAATTAATGGTGCAGGCTTCTGCAGCATCAGAGATGATGAATGCTTAGGTTTCAGCTGCACTCTACTTTTATCCCCATGCCTAGATGACATTTGGACTGGCAACATTCCCCTCTAGGTGGTCTGCTTAGAGGTCTTAGGCATTGGGGAGGGTGAGCAGTGCTGGGACTCAGGCAAAGTAGGGAGTGCATTCCTAACTGATGCCGAGGAACTCAGTGCTGAGTCTGACTGACTGGACTCTGATGGAGGCCTTAGGGCTGCCTCCATGGGCAAAAACCTCTCCATCTTTCCTTGTCCAAGGCTTAAAGTCTTTGCACATCTGGCACTGATCCGGAATATGAGCCTGAACACAATGAGAGCACTTGCTAAGGCAAGTCAAGTGAATCAAATGACTGTCATGGGTGGCAAGAAAGAACTGCGGAAGCTCAGGGATGGCTGGGTCCCTTAAACTCAGTGGCACATAGCAGCAGAGGGCACTTGAGCTGCCCTAACAGATACCAACTGAAGGAAAAAATTTGGATGACTGTGCGTGGAGTATATGCACACCAAGAGTGGAATACACATGTGCAATCACTCAAAGAACTCAGCACAGTTCATAAAATCATAGTAGTAGCCCATAAAATTGTATTTCATTTACCGAGCCTGGTAGTTCAGGGATTCTGAAGAAATGGTTACTTACTGTAACTGTGATTCTTCAAGATGTGATGCAAATGTTTAATCCACTTAGGCGTAAGTATGCCAAGCGCATTGGAGCTGGAGAAATTTGCCTAACAGTACCCGTAGGAGGCAGTCATCACACCTTGTGGCCAAAGACCCTCCCCTAGCTATATGAGGTGGTGCTATCTCAACCCCCGTTTAGCTCCTTCACATTTAATGGTCAGAGACTAGACTCTGATGTAGAGAGGGATGGAAAGTGGGTCATGGCATAAATCAGTGGTTCTCAAACTAGGGCCACCGCTTGTTCAGGGAAAGCCCCAGGCGGGCCGGGTCAGTTTGTTTACCTGCTGAGTCCGCAGGTTCGGCTGATCGCGGCTCCCACTAGCCGCGGTTTGCCGCTCCAGGCCAATGGGGGCTGCAGGAAGCGGCGGCCAGCATATCCCTCGGCCCGTGCTGCTTTCTGCAGCCCCCTTGGCCTGGAGCGGCAAACCGCAGCCAGTGGGAGCCACGATCGGCTGAACCTGTGGACACGGCAGGTAAACAAACTGGCCCAGCCCACCTGGGGCTTTCCCTGAACAAGCGGCGGCCCTAGTTTGAGAACCACTGGCATACATGACTGCATCACGTCTAGAACCACCACAATTACAGTAAGTAACCATTTCTTTTTTGAGTAGATGCAGCCATGTATTCCACTTAGGAGACTCAAAAGCAGTACCCATGAAGGGTGGGGCTTGGAGTCTATTTAACAAGGACTGCAAGACTGCCTTCTCAAAGTTTGCATCTGCTCTGGATGCCATGGTCATGGCACAATGGTTTGTAAACATATGTATCAACGACCACAAGGTGGCCCTGCAAATGTCCAATATTGAGACGTCACTTAAGAATGCCATTGAGGTAGCTTGTGGTCTCATAGAATTAGCTCACACATGTGGCCCATAGCCTCAGGCACAGACAAACTGTTGTGGAAGGTTGAGACTGCAGACCGAGACAAAGGTGGTGAATCAATTGCCTCTTTGGCACAGATCCAGGGTGTCATAAGGATCCCATGGACCCCAATAGGGTCTGTATGAATGGTTGAAGGCTGGTTGGTGGGAGCCCCAAAGCACTGTTGACCAGAAATCTCTTGGAGGGTAATCCTGCCTGGGCAGAGGACAGGCAGTCAGTTTGCACCTCCCCTTATGCCCTCCGTCCTGAGCGTAAGGAGCTACACGGTGCAGGCATGGACCAACTAATGGACACTACTTGCAGGATTTTATGGTCTCAGCTGCATGGTGCACATGGATACCTTTGGGTGGAATACACATAAGGACCACCACTTGAAGAAATAATGTAGGTTGCATTTATAAACTAGGAGACTGTTTCCTAGAAAGCAGTGACTCTGAAAAGGATTTAGGGTAGATCTCAATGCAATTTTGTAGCTAAAAGGGCGAATGCAATGCTTGGATGGATAAACAAGGGAACATCATGTAGGAGTAGGAATGTTTTACTACCTCTGTTTATGGTATTAATAAGATCGTTACTGGAATACTGCATCCAGTTCTGATATCTACACTTCAGAAAAGATCTTGAAAAACTGGAAAGGATTCAGAAAACATAAGAATGACTTGAGATTGGGAATGCATGCTTTATAGTGAGAAACTAAGGAAGCTCAATTTATTTGGTTTACCACAGAGAGGTTTATGAGGGATCTTGATCATGGTGTAACAAGTACTTACACGGGTAAAAGATTTCTAATAGACAGCTCTTTAATCTAGCAGAAAAAGACATAAGATCAAATGGTTGGAGGCTGAAGCTAGACAAATTCAGACTACAAACATGGTACAAATTTTTAACAGGGAGAGTAATTAACCATTGGAACAACTTACCTAGGGACATGGTAGATTCTCCATCACTTGCTGTCTTTAAGTCAAGACTGGATATATTTCTAAAAGATACGCTAAACATCAACAGAAGTTGTGGGCTTGATGTAGAAATTATTGGGTGACATTCTTTGGCCTAAATTACACAGGAGTTCACACTAGTTTATATTCTTTTCTTCTTGCCGCAAATAAAATAATCAGTATAGTGACTACTATTGCCATCTGGTGCCCCATTTCATACATATACTAAAAAGAAACTAATGATATGTCCAAACTACAAGACTTGTCCAATTTTCTCTTTGGAATCTGGCTGCTCTTCCCCCCTCATGGGATATGCTTCTCTTAAGGGACTCAAACTATATAATTATAAATGGTCCTGAATAAACCAAATATTTTACAGCTATATTGTTTCAGTTCAGTGTGTTTATTATCTAGATGTGTAATTACATAAAAATTCAAACCTTTTGTATTAAATAGCTATTTAACTTCATAAGAAAACAATGTACAGTGCAATTTTTCCTTGTTCTAATAAATTATACATACTGTATAAACACACAAAAAAGCAGTGTGTAAGCCCAAATGGACTGTTGTGCTTCAATGTATGTATTTCAGGGGCTAGAATGAAATTTATATGGAAGCAGACATGCATCTTACCTTTAGTTCCTATTTTTCTGATAGCCATTAAATGTGAGCTGGCTGGTACACTAACCAGATTGAAGTACTTTTTATTATTACACTTGTAGTTAATTTTACATTGCAGCAGTTAATATATGTGATTTTAAAAAAGAAAAATAAGCAGTGGAACAAACTGATGCCTGGAATAACTCTACAGATCAATGTGGATCATTAAGTGCTATACTTGTCTTTTTTTTTTTTTTTTTTTTTAAATTAGAAATGTCACTCAGAAAATGTCCACCACTGACCAGCATTCTCCATGATCATTGAAAAGGGTGCTTTTCCTGAAGTTGCTCATTTTGTTCCCAACTTACGCTAGTTCAGCTAAGAAAGAGAGCAAATGTTACTCTCCTGGATAGCGTTGCACAGTATGCTTCAGCCTAAAAAGCTATCTAACTTCCTTGTTGCTGAGTGAGAATAAATAAATGTCTCCAATGTCTCAGTCTGAAGACTGCCATGGGTAATGAAGAAACCTGGGTTCTCAATATCAAGTTTGACCTCAGGAATGGATTTGTTGAGGCTTGTGTAACCCACAGGACCCCATTCTTGATCCTTTCACTCCCTTCAACATCCTTTCTTTTAGGTGATCTCATCTGCTCACATGGCTTCATCTAAATCTTCATCATACAGTTACACTGACTCACAAATCTACCTTTCCACTCTTGATCTGTATCCTTCAGCCTGTCTCCAATTATTTAAACTCAGTTTGGCCAAAACTGAACTCATGTCCCCCACCACTCCTGATTTTGTCATATTGACCACATGACCACCATCCATGTGACTCAACTGAAGAACTTGGAGGTCATCTTTGACTCCTCCCCTTCCTTTGCCTCACACATCCAAGGCATGCCCAAATCTTAATTCGTCCTCCAAAACATTTTTAAGTTCCGAAGTTTTCAGTGTAAAATTTTCAAGAGCAGCTAAGTGATTTAGTGAAAGTCAGTAAGGCTTACGCACTTTCAAAATGTTAACTTCTGTCTTCATATGTACAATTTTTCTCCAGGCATTCACTATATCCTATTTTGATTACTGTAACCTGTTTCTCTCAGGCCTCTGACACTCATTGTCCCCCACCAGTCCATAGGAAATTCAGCTGCTATGATCTTCTTCCTCGCCTCTGTGTCTTCCCCCATTCAATTACCTCTACTGGCTACTTTCCAACTGTTCCAAATTCAAGCTCCTGGTTCTCACTTTCAAGCTCCTTCATATCTCTGGCTTGCCCTATTCAGTGGCTCGCTCAGTGGTTTGAGCATTGGCCTGCTAAACCAGGGTTGTGAGTTCAATCCTTGAGGGGGCCATTTAGGGATCTAGGGCAAAATCAGTACTTGGTCCTGCTAGTGAAGGCAGGGGACTGGACTTGAAGACCTGTTTGTGTGCTTCTCTTACAACTGTCTTTGTGCTTTCTTCCATGTCATTTCTCATGCACTGGATCTCAACTCAGAATTTGTAAGGCCACTACCCTCTCTTCCTACAAATACAGCCTCCCATCCCTCTCTCATCATGATGCTGAAAAGAAACTGGCTAACTAACAATGGCTACATAGACAGATAATTGGGAACAGCTGACAATCTGAAAAAATCCTTTCATTGTATATTGTCTCTCTCTTCACCACCCACTGTCTATTGCTTATCATGTACTGTTTGCTTTTTGGAGCAGGAACTGTATTCCTATTTGCACAGAAAGCAAATAGCACATTATAGGGGCTGCAGTAAAGCAAATAATAATAGTTTATATCAGTACAGTATCACAACAAAAAAATGCCTGGCGATCACAACCAGCAATGTAATTTCCAGCTTTATGTATAGAAGATTCTTACAGGCACCCATAAAGTCTCTCACTTTGTCAAGCCATACTATGGAAATACAGCCTTCTATCAACGTAAGTTCTAGGTCTAGTGGCTAAAGACAAACCTTGCCGCTTCTGTTGATATCATCTGAGGTACACAAACCCTTGGTTTCCACTCCTTGGACAGAACCTTAGACTTTGGCTTGAAGTCAACTGCCTAAGGACTCTGCTTTGGTTGGATCTCAATGTACTGTTGCTCTATCCATATAATTTTTGCCTTAGAATTATTACTTCCTTCATCTACTTGAACAGGGCAATCTAGAATTACCTCTTATCCAAGACATATTAAGACACTTTCAAAATGAAAATCATATTTCATTACATTTACTGCAGCCTTAAATCACCACAATATATTGTATTTGCAGTGCTCTTTGTATTGCAGCAATTTTATTGCATAAATAAACAAAGGTATATTTTAAAGCTTTTCCACATTCAAGAAACTAAAAACTCTGGAAGCTTTTATAGAAATAAAAATTAACTTTACAAAAAATTAGAGCTTATTTACATTTTTCAATACACAATTACTTTCCATCAAATCTGATTGGTCTATGTCTTTCCCTTCTGTAGGGTCCCACTCAATTCTGATATGGAGGTTTGCACTGGCTGCTGCTGCTTCTTCATAGGAGAGGCGATATTCTTCTGAACTAAAGAGAAAGTATGGTATTAGTGTTTATAAACCAATTCTATAATAGATGTAAAGGGGCAGATCCTCAGCTAATGTAAATTGTCCATCAATTTCAATGGAGCTATGGTAATTTACATTAGCTGCAGGGTATGTCTCAAAATTTGTGGAGAAGAAATCACCCCAGATTGTTTTGATGTATTGACTGACTTTATGACTGAATAACATGATGAGATGATCATAAGAGTAAAATATAATTACTAATATTGTAAATGGATTACTTTTATACTTATCACTGGTCTTGTAGTTATTTTGATAAAAATGGGGGTGGGGGGTAGCAGGGTGATATATTGTTTAGATCTCTCCATTGGCTAGCTACTTAAATTTTGCATTTAGGCAATAATTAAGAGGAGGAAAAGAATAACCAACAAATGAAAATAGTAAAAAAAGCAATGTGGCACAGTAATATAGTAAGATCATACTGTTACAGAATACAGCTATCAAAAATTTAAATGGTCTCAAAAATGTAACCATAATCTAGTATAAAATTAACATAACTTAATTCTAAGGATTATAATGGCAAATGGAAATGAACAAAAAGTAACTCTCCCTACCATCGTAAAACTGTACACTTACATCATTCTTGGAATGTTTTTGGCTTACAAAATATTCAGCACCCAATCTAAAAGAGATATATTCACTGGTATAAAATTGAAAAGCAGGAAACTTGATTCTTCTTTAGAAAAGAAGCAAGCACTGATCCTGATTTATGGGACAGATCTAGGTCCTCTCACAGGTTAACACTAATTCCATAGGAGAGGGAGGTAAGTAAATCCCTCAGGGTACATCTACACTACAGGGGGGAGTCGATTTAAGATACGCAAATTCAGCTACGTGAATGCTTCAGTAGCATCAAAGAGGAGAAATTGGGTTGTGAGAAAGCAAAACACACATTTAATCAATAAGGATCAACTCTTGCCATTTTCTTCATGGGTGCAGAGGCTCCCTTGGCAGTGGAAGTGGCATGGCTTCATATATGCAAAAAGGGAGTGGTGGGAGGAATATGGGGACCACTCAACGGTTATGCATACATTTATCAATGTGGAGCTCCATGGGGGACCCTTGCATTGTAGTGCACAGGGACATGTGGAAACAGGGTATTGACAAGAGAGAGAGAGAGAGATGTGTGTGTGTGTGTGTGTGTCAGCTGCTTGTCTTTCCTGTCATCATGTGGTGTCACAGAGCCTACCTCAGACACTTGTTTGAAGCAGCCTGTGTAGGAATGCACATATACCCATGTCTGACCCAGATACCTGGGTAGATGTTAAGTTTTTCTAAGGGGTGACGGAGCTGAAGAGCAGGAAACGCTGGCTCTCTGCAAGAGCAGCTATGATGACAGCCAGACACTTCAGAGAGGGGAGCAGAACCTGGTTGGTAAAGACTTTCTGTAGAACTTAAATTACAGCACAAGTTCTGCAGGAAGTTGTAAGTCTCTTGGGAAGTCTGCCTCCTACAGACAATCTATATCTATCTTAGTGGTTGGCGACTATACATGATTGTTATTTAAAAAAAAAAAAAAGCACTCCTCTTCCTGAGGCAGAAATAAACCAATTTTCTCTCTTAGTTTAGTATATGGGAAAGTAATGACTGAACTAAGGATAGACATACCTATATACCTTTTTTAATGTTTATCTTCTCATTCTTTTGGGAGGAGTGGGACTGTCAGACATATCAAGTGCTTCTAGCGGAAGTAATGATTCAGTGCCTTTACCTGATGGGGTCATGCCTTTGAGAAGTACAAATAAAAATACATCAAAAACAGAACCTCTTTTCACCCTGTTTATACAATAGTTCATAAAACAGTGGTGCAAATCATAAAAAAAAGTTCAAAATGGTAAGTTTTGCCATTCAACACAAATAAGGTTGCTTCCTTAATGTTAAAATCTGGTTAAAGGAAAGGAAAATAGACCAAAAATAATCACTTATAAACTTTACTTGTAGGTCTCCGAGAATAAATGCTTAGTTTCCATATTATTCATATACGTTATAGGAATGTTTGACATCAACTCAACATTTCTTACATTTGGAAAGTTTGTCTTTAGGGAATTATGGTCTTGAAAAAAAACAAACAAAAGGGTCAAAAAATGTTTTGCCCTTGTGTGATGGGGTGCACTTGCCACACAATGGTACTGCAAGGGTTAACTCCACCCTTTGGGCTGAGGAGGCCAGGCCCCCTCAGTCCTGCTGGCCATGCTCTGGCAGGAGACCAGGTATAAAAGGGAGCAGCTCAGCTCATTGAGGGCTGACCACCGAGGAGGGAGGAAGCACGCTGCGGGCTCCAGCCAGGGAAATGGTGAGGCCCCAGGCAGCGGAAGCCAGAGACACTGAGACCCAGGCAAACACCCACGCTCCTGTGGACGCCCAAGGAGTGACAGAGCTGCTGAGAGCAGCGTAGGCCAAAGAACCCAAAGACCTTGGAGACGCCAGGACCACTGCACGAGGGACAGAGTAGCTCAGGGGGAATTAATCATTGTGCCAGGTGGTGTCAGCGTCTTTTGGACAGACCCCTCCACTAACCCAGTGGCGAGCACACTTGCCACTGCCAAGGCCCTGAGTTGGGAACCAATGGAGCAGGGAGGCCCCGGGTCCCCTATCTGGCTGCCATCCACTCTTAGGTGGTGACCCACTCGCCTGACTGGCCACTAGGCCACACAGCCCTGCTCAAGAGGGCAGCCATACTGATTCTGTCCACTAGGCCATGCAGTCATATTGATTTGGGCCTTGCTGAAGAAGAGGGCAGCCCTACTGACTCTGGCCATTGGGCCACGCAGCCCTGAAGGAGTGGGTAGTTATATTGACTTTCACCCCTGGGCCATGCTATCCCGAGACAAAGGAGAATCGCACAGACTCAGCTGCGAGGAAATAATAACCCTCACCCTGCCCCAAAAGGGGACTGGGCGCGCTTTCCCCGCGACACCTTGCTAAGGAAACACCCTCAGTCCAACTATTTGCTGTACTGTCATTTCAACAAGCAGCTTTTCCTAACATTGGCAAACTAAAATAATAATAAAATTATGTAATTCTTATTACTGAGATCATAATCTCTTGTTCGCAAGCCATTTTAGATCATAAAAATAAGATTTTCTTTCAAGGTGTCAGTTAAAGACACCTTGGAAGAAAATGTACATCTGGATCATGATGCATAACACTGCACTGCAAGTAGTTTTTATATTACTTTCCTTGAAAAAAAATTAGAAACCATTATCAAGAACCTAAATCTCAATTTAAAGTAAAAACTCACTTTGTGAAATGACTTCATAACCATGCCTTTGTGGTTTGGTTTCTCTAGTTTTCTGAAAATTAATACATGTGGAAGTATGCTAGTCCATTGACTGTTCTACCCCCTCAGAGAGACAAATAGGTGTTAACAAAAAGTTAATATAACATACCCAGTTTCTCCTCTATTAGCTTGAGACTTTTCTCTTGTTCAGCAAGCTCCTGTTTTCTCTTTTGCATCTCTGGAGTATTAAGGGACTGTAATTGTAAATGAAGATCCTGATTAACACTATGCAGTTTGACCACTGCTGTACGGTATTGCTGAAGAAGATCTAATAGAAGAAAAAGAACAAAAGGGTAATAAAACACAAAACATGGAAAACTGTTAAATAATTAAACTCCCACTGTGGGTATTATTTTAAACAGCCACTAATAAAAAAGACTGCCAGACATAATACAGGCAAGGTAAACTTTCCTACTGACATACCAATTGAAATTTATTAAATATTTTGGGATGTTTTTCTACATTTTCAAATATATTGATTTCAATTACAACACAGTATACAAAGTTGACAGTGCTCACTTTATATTATTTTTGATTACAAATATTTCCACTGTAAAATGGCAAACAAAAAAAAATAGTATTTTTCAATTCACCTCATACAAATACTCCAGTGCACTCTCTTTATCATGTACGTGCAACTTACAAATGTAGATTTTTTTTGTTACATAACTGCACTCAAAAACAAAACAAAATGCAAAACTTTAGAGCCTACAAGTCCACTCAGTCCTACTTCTTGTTCAGCCAATTGCGAAGACAAACAAGTTTGCTTACATTTACTGTAGCTAATGCTGCCCACGTCTTATTTACAATGTCACCTGAAAGTGAGAACAGGCATTTGCATGGCACTTTTATAGCCGGCATTGCAAAGTATTTACATGCCAGTTATGCTAAACATTCGTATGCTCCTTCATGCTTCGGCCACCATTCCAGAGGATATGCTTCCATGCTGATGATGCTCGTTAAAAAAAATAATGCATTAATTAAATTTGTGACAGAACTCCTTGGAGGAGAATTGTACCTTTCCTACTCTGTTTTACTCGCATTCTGCCATATATTTCATGTTATAGCAGTCTCGGCTGATGACCCAGCACATGTTGTTCGTTTTAAGAACACTTTCACTGCAGATTTGACAAAACACAAAGAAGGTACCAATGTGAGATTTCTAAAGATAGCTACATCACTCGACCCAAGGTTTAAGAATCTGAAGTGCCTTCCAAAATCTGAGAAGGACTAGGTGTAGAGCATGCTTTCAGAAGTCTTAAAAGAGCAACACTTCGATGCGTAAACTACAGAACCCAAACCACCAAAAAAGAAAATCAACCTTCCGCTGGTGGCATTTGACTCAGATGATGAACATGAACATGCTTTGGTCTGCACTGCTTTGGATGGTTATCGAGCAGAACCCGTTACCAGCATGGATGAATGTCCTCTGGAATGGTGGTTGAAGCATGAAGGGACATATGAATCTTTAGTGCATCTGGCCCATAAATATCTTGCGCCATTGGCTATAACCGTGTCATGCGAATGCCTGTTCTCACCTTCAGGTGAAATTGTAAACAAGAAGCGGGCAGCATTATCTCCTGAAAATGTAAACTTGTTTGTCTTAGTGATTGGCTGAACAAGAAGTAGGATTCAGTGGACTTGTAGGCTCTAAAGGTTTAAATTGTTTTATTTTTGAATGCAGTTATTTTTTGTACATAACTCTACATTTGTAAGTTCAACTTTCATGATAAAGAGATTGCACTACAGTACTTGTATTAAGTGAACTGAAAAATACTATTTCTTTTATTTTTACAGTGCAAATATTTATAATAATAAATATAAAGTGAACACTTTGTATTCTGTGTTGTAATTGAAAGCAATATCTGAAAATGTAGAAAACATACAAAAGTATTTAAATAAATGGTATTCTATTATTATTTAACAATGCAATTAATCACAATAAATTTTTGTAATTGCTTGACAGCCCTAGTTTAAAGTATCAGTCTACTCTGAAAAATGACTTGGAAAGATAGCACTTCCTTATCTAACAGATCCGCTACTCTTGTGTATTCTGAGTCATAGTCTACTGAAAATCAGGGTGTCTACTCCATTATTATTTACTCTTTTAGAACTATGAAGCTGAAAATACTGAGGCTTGCTCTACATTTAAAAGTTAGGCTGACATAGCAATGGCACTCAACAGTGTGAAAAATTCACGCATCTTACAACTGCAGCTATGCTGATCTAACCCTCGGCATAGACAGCATCTGATCTAGAGGCATGAAGCAGAGAAAAATGGTTGGAAAAAGTATGTACAGAGGTCCAGGTTGCAGCTCGGCAGATTTCAGTAACTGGAACATCTTTGAGTAATGCACAGAAGTAGATTGTGACATTGTAGAATGAGCTATCAGTTTAGAAGGAAGATGAATGTCAGCCAAGTCATAACATGCAACAATACTCTGGCTGAGATCCATCTTGAAAGTCTCTGGGTAGAGACAGCAGATCTGTCTGCAACTGAAAAAAAGTCTAGGATACTGTCTGAATGGTTTGGTTCTGTCCAGGTAGAAGGCTAATGTCCTTCTTACATCCAGGGTATGGAAAGCATCTTCTTGTCTAGTCTGATGAGATTTGGGGGGAAAAAACTGGGAGATGAATGGTCTGATTAACATGGAATTCAGAAGACACCTTAGGTAGAAACTTTGGATGTGGTTGTGATTATAGCTTTTACTTGAAAAACACTGTAAAAGGCGGGTTGGAGAACTGGGACTTTGATGGCACTCGCATGCAAAATTTCTTGCACTTTGTTAGCAGCAGTTGCAAAGAGATCTACCTATGGAAATTCCCAAGGTAAGAATATGTTGCTGAGGACTCATGAGTCTAGCTCCCATTCATAATTTTGGGAAAAGTGCCTGCTGAGATCATCATCGGTCATGGTATTTTGAAGACTTGGAAGAAGCTGAGATAACTATCTGGTTGGCTATGCACCAATTCCAGACTTTTATCTTTGGCAGAGTGAATGGGAATGTGCCCCTCCCTGATTGACATAAAATATGTCTGTCATGATCTCGACTGATCTGGCTCTGATCAGAGGAAGTAAGTAAAAGCAAGCATTTTTGACTGCTCTCAACTCCAGAAGATTGATGTCGAAAAGCTGCTGTTGGGATAACTGTTTGCCCTGGATTGAATGAGGCTCTACATGTGCCCTTGCATCCCAAAAAGGAAGCATCTGATATTATCACAGTGGTTGGGGAATCATGAATAAACAGGACTCATGCACAGACCTCTGAAGGGTCTTTCCACTGACTGCAGAACCCAGCTGCGTACAGACACTTGCTTATCCAGACTGTGCTTCTTCGGCATACAGATTGTCCTGTGCCATCCCTGAAGTAATCGAAGATGTAACCTGGTGTTTTGGGTTATACAGATGCAAACTGCCATGTGCCCTGTGATGGGGTGGACTCCCCACACTAGCTCTGTAAGAGCTGAATTAGGCCAGGTGGGCCCAATCAGCTTAATTAGGCTGCAAGCAGGGGAGATTCAAGCTGGAGGCAGCTAATTAAGGACAGGCTCACCTTTGCAGGAACAGGCAGGGCCTGTATAAAGCCAGGTAGCTGGCTGCGGGGGGTGGGGTGCTGCTTCTGGGAAAGGCTGCAGGGAAGTAGGCCACAGAGAGGAAGCTGCAGACCCGGGAGTGAGCAGGGAAGCAGAGTCAGACAAGATGGGAGAAGCCAACAACGGAGAGAGAGAGAGCGAGAGCGCAAGCTGGCAGAGCGAATCCCCAGAATGGCCAACATGAGGCACTGCTCATGTTGAGCGGACACCCGTGACGTGCCCCAATAGTTGAAGACAATGCCTTACTGAATCTTTGAGATGAGGTTCTTTAGGACAGGGGTAGTCAATAGGCAGACCACAGGCCAATTTCAGACCACCAGATGTTTTTGAATGGACCATGAAATCTTTTTATTTATTTATTATATTATTGTTATTTTTATTATTTTCTTCTCTGGAGTCTGGACCTTGACTATACCTTGACAAAGAAATTTGGACCTTGACAAAAATAATGGACTACTCCTGCTTCAGGGTGAGAAACCTGTCTGTAGGTAGGTTAGCCCTGCCTGTCACTGCATCCAGAGAAGGCCCTATGAAATCTATCTTTTGTACTAACGGTTGTTGTTGAATTTGAAGTGAAGAAACCTCTTGTGAGAGGGGTGAATTGCAACATGAAAATAGGTGTTTTGAAGGCCAAGGATCGCAAACCAATCCCTGGAATATAGGGAGGGAATCATAGTGACAAGGGTCACCATCATGAATATATGCTGTCTCACATAGTTTTTCAGACATCTGAGATCTAATACTGGTCTCCATCCTCCATTTTTGGGGGGGAACCAGAAAGTACTTGGAATAAAACCCCTTTCCCCTGTGCTGAGCTGGGACGGGTTCTATAGCTCCTAAATGTAGAAGAGAATACAGCAATATCAGCAACTGATTGTGAAAAGTGTCACTGAAGGGACAGGGAAGAGGGACAGGAGGGAGGGATGGATGTGAAATGGATGAGCCAACCGGATACGAAGACCTCCAAAATCCATTTGTTGGATGTTATGCTTTCCACCATGCAGTTCAAAAACATTTTACTGCCAATGGCATCTAGTCTTTAAATAACCACTCATCATTAAGTTTAGTGTTTTTGGTGGTTACAAGGACTGGGATACCTTAGGAGACTGCTTTTCTGACTTCTGGTTAGCCATTGTTTTGAGACAGAAATTTACTTTTGTTGCTGGTTGGGTATTTCTTATACATAACCACCAGTTTTGGGGTATGTCTGCCCTATTTCCCAGCAGTTTGTCCTGAATTTGGTATTCTCAGTTGTGACCCACTGAGGCACAGTGACAGTGGCGTAGTCGAGCAGGGTGAACCACACAGCTTGTTGTTCTGAGTAAGATTTGCACTTCATACACTGATGGAGATCTTAAGTGAAAGTTAAGTGTAGTGGGTCAAGGAGTCAAGAGATGAGATGAGTAAAGGACGTTACCAGCTTGTTATTTTCTGTTTGCTTATTTCGGGCAAGAGAAGTAGAGACAGAAAAGCAGGAAAATGAGTGTGTGTGAAACTTTCATGAAATTGGAGCTGTGCAGATTGCAGGCAGAAGAAAAAGAAAAGAAATATAAAAGACTTATGGAATTAAAACGGCTGGAAATTGAGGCGCAGAGGCAAGCAGCCGCACACCAGAGAATTTTGGAACTTAAACGGATAGAGGCTGACAAAGAAATTGAGACCCAAAAATGGGGCTGGGAACTTAGCTTGAAACGAAGGGTTCCTGCCATATGGAGAGACTAAATAAGGTGGGGAGTGACATCATGATTTGTCTTCACTCCCCCATAACTCAACACCTGAAAGAAGCTCTGAAAGACAAAGGGCTTGGAACGGGGGAGGCAAACCCATGCTGCACAGCAATTACAGTCTGTGCCTTAAGAATCTGCAATCCTGCTTGTATCATCAATCAGCGTAAGAAATTGCTAATTTGTATCCTATCTATCTAGTACATTAGGCTCCGTTTGCATTTTTGTTTATTTGCTAGGTAATCTGCTTTGATCTGTTTGCTATCACTTAAAATCTTTCTGTAGCTAATAAACTTGTTTTATGTTTTATTTTAACCAGTGTGTCTTTAAGTGAAGTGTCTGGGAAAATCTCAGCTTGGTTAACCCAGGCTTGTTGTGCATATCTTTCCCACATCGACAGCAAAGTGAACTATACCAATGAGCTTGCATTGTACAGATCCTTGTGCAGTGCAAGACAGTATAATACTGGGTTTATACTCCAGCAAAAGGTGAAAGGCTGGGAAGCTGGAAAGTTGGCTGTTGTCCTCTGTCTATCCTTGAGTGGCTTAGGTAAAGCACTCAAGTAACTTGGTTGGGTGTGTGGTACCACTTGCTGTCGTATTGGATGATAACAGGGCCTGGAGAGGCTGGGTGAATCACCAGCAGAGCAGTGTGAGAGAGACCAGCCCAGCTGAATGGTTAGGAGGCAAAGCGGTTCCCACGGCTCCCAGACTGCACCTGGGGGGCGGGGGGATAACCCATCACAATGCTCTCTTACTATTAACACCTATAAAACAGGAAACATTTCAAAAAATTTTTTTTTGTTATTTCTCGAAGAAACACTATGACAGAGTTTAGAGGCCAAATTTTCAATTTGTAGTCATAAAAAAGTGACTGTACAGTAATACTTTAAAAGACAACCTTACACCTAACTTAAAGTATCACTTCTTACCTTAGACAGATGTAACAAAAAACATATACAAGTAACATCACAGTAAATAATGTTTGGGGCGTTATCACTACTTTGTGAACTTACCTATCTGTCCAGAAAGAGTACTGTAAAGTTTTGGCATTGGTGCTCCAAATACCATTCCTCTGAGTTTGTCCATTGGAGGAGCTTTATTTTGAAGGCCTCCAAACTTTCCATTGCTGCGAATTCTATCTCCTTCCCTAGTCAGTAATGTTGGGCAATGTGTGATTTTTACAACCTACACAGGTATAAAAATAAATCTCATAGGTAAAAAGTATGTAGGTATAGTAAATCTGTTAAAAGGAAAAGCTTAATCATCAGTAGTGGTGGGCCAGTCGTGGTGGACCCCACAGTTTTATACTTACCTTTATTACATTATAATGCAGGTGGTCTACACTGAAAGGTGATTCTGTAAAAATGTCATGTCTATTGCATCTCAAAATTACAGAGCAAACTTGCTCAATTTAAATGTATAGTTACATTTCCTTTAAAGTGCTAACCCTGCATACTCTGTCACTCACAGACACTTTGGAAGGTGAATTATGATCTGCCTGTTCACAGCCAGCTGCCCCTTGCACGGCCAGAGCATAGAGCTCACAGTCAGACTGGCATGTTCGGCACGCCCCCTTCACTGAGGACCCCTCACTCCAAGCAAGAGAGTCTGAGCATTTCAGGGAGAGTCTAAGGACAGAGAGCACACCATCTGGCTAGCTCAAGGGTAAATTCCATGGTATACAACATTCATATGGTAGTATTTTTTTTTTTAAACAAAAAACCCAGACAATTTTGTCAACATTGATACTATAGACTGCATCCATTGTAAAGTGCATTGGGATTTCTGAATGAAAAGCATTTTGGGGCAGATCATTAGCTAATATAAATTGTCATAGCTCCAGTTCAGTTGATGAAGCTATGAAAATTTATACCAGTTTAGGATCTGTCCCTTTACATTTATAAGTATACAAAACCTGTAACCCAACAGGATTTTCTTTTAGCAAATACACAAACACTTGAAGGTAAGGTACATACCTCCTTTCTGTAATGATTGGCAGCATCCAAATTGTCAATAATGATGGTGTCACCTAAGAGCATCCCGAACACTGTAAATTTAATGAATTTTCAAATGGTGAAACTTCTCAGCAATAAAATACTTTAAACAGGTATTGGTTTATAGTAAATTAAATGTCCAAAATGATATTGATAACTCAAAACAACAGCTTAAGAGAAGCAGTACCAGTTCTTAATAAAAGCTTGCATAACCACTAACTGAGTTTTTAAAATGTATCTGCTATATTGTAGCTAAAATGCTATATCTATTGTAATTTAAATATAAAACAGCTTTTTACAACGTAATTCTCTGGCAAAAAAGACAAAAAATGAACAATAATGAAGCTCAGGGTGACATTTATGATTTAAGAAAATTCTGAATGTAAGTTGCGAGTTGTAGGAAGGAGGCAAAAGGGACTACATATAACCAATTCCTTTGCATTTCAGCCCATCAGAATTTATTGTATTTTTATTTAATTGCAGTTTTTATTACACAAGATTTACTAAGGTTTTAGGACTGCCTCTGTGTCTAGGACACAAATGGAGGTTACTCGCCTCGTGCAGTAACTGGAGTTCTTTGAGACATGTATCTCTATAAATGCATCAATATCCAACTCCTTCCCCTCTGCTTTCAGAGTTTCTTCTGTGTGAGTTTGTGGTGGAAAGAACTCAGGCTGGTTCTCTTGTGCAGCCCTATACAGCCTTAATGTGGGCATGAGGATGTACAGGGCACATGCGCGAGCCAAACGGGCAACTGCTACTGAAAATCTCTGATCAAAGACACATGTCCCGATTAGTCCAAGTTGAAGCCTTGCAAATTTCCACAATAGGAACATGTTTGAGTAACCCCACAGAGGCAGAGAGGTGGTCTTGTGGAATGGGCTAATATCCTAGATCAGTGGTTCTCAACCTGTGGTCCAATCAGAACAGAGCTGCGGCCCATGTGACATCCTCAGGGCCATACAAGTAGTATTGGATGTGTCCACATAATGCATTCTGGGCTGCATCAATGGTAAATAGGTTGAGAACCACTGCCCTAGAAGGAGATGGTATATCGGTAAATTCACAACTAGATATTATGCAACCAGAAATCCACCTGGAGAGTCTCTGGGTTGAGATCGTGGACCCTTTGGACCTGGACCTATCACCAATTGCTACAAACAAACAGTCTGGGAGACTTCCTGAATGGCTTGGTTTTATCCAGATAAAAGCCAACACCCTCCTGATGCACAAGGTGTATAAGGTAGCATCCATCCTGGACTGATATGGTTTCAGGAAAAAGACTGAAAGATGGATGAGTTGGTTTATGTGAAACTCAGATGGCATCTAATGTAAGAGCCTAGGATGTAGCCATAACAAAATCTTGTCCTTGGGGGAAAATAACAGTAAATGGGGGGGTCTGCCATTAAAGCCACACATTCTGGCAGAGGTGATAGCCACCAAAAAAGCCATCTTTATGAATAGGTTAGAGAGAGAACAGATCGCAATCGGCTCAAAGGGAGGCCTCATAAGATACTTATGTACTAAGTTCAGATCCCAAACAGGAGCAGGTTCTTTAATCTGAGGGACAAGTTTCCTCGACCCCTTGATAAATCACTCTGTTGTGGGATGAGCGAACACCAAGAAATGGTCAACTGGGGAAGGAAAGGCCATTATAGCAGTTAAGCGGACTCTGATGGAACTCAGATAATGTTGTCTTTTTCAATTTCAGGAGGTAGTCCAGAACAGCTGAGAGGGAAGAATGAGTGGATGAAAGATACTGCTGGTCATACCAATGGTTTAATCTCTTCAATTTTTGAAGGTAAGTATATCATGTGGAATTTTTCCTACTATTCATCAACAACACCTGTTGTACCTCTGCAGAACAGTAAGTCTTGAGGAAAAGAATTCCCAGGTTAGGGTGAAGAGTCTGACTGGCATCTTGAGAGAAGAGATGATAAATGGACAGAAGGCTGACTGCCCACAAACAGCCAGGTTAATCAGGTAAGCATACCAGGCTGTCTTGGCCATGCTAGAACTATTAATATTAGAGGTATTGGGGGAAACGCATAAAGAAGTCCCCTCATCTATGGGATGAGGAAGGCATCTCCTAGTGAGTGAAGGCCCCACAATCCTCCTGAACAAAGCGATCTGAACTTCTCGTTGGCAAAAAGTTCCATCTCTGGAAACCCCCAGGTCAGAAAGACATGATTGAGAGTGCCACTCAATCATAGGAGAAGCATCTGTGAAGAGCACTAGCTATGGTGTTTTGTATGCCTGGAAGTTATGCCACGGAAATGAAGATGTGATTGGTTATATTGGTTCTATAGCTTTATTGCTTTGGCACAGAGAGAAGGGGATCTTGCTCTTCCTTAATGATTAACATAAAACATGCAAGCCAAATTGTTTGTCATGATTTTGTCTCTGATTAATGGGAGAAAGTGAATATAGGCATTCCTGACTGTCCTCAGTTCCACAATGCTGATGTGCAAACGAGATCCTTGGATAGACCATCTGTCCTGAAGTGTATGTGTCCCCAGATTTGCTCTCCAGCCCAACAAAGATACTTCTGTCGTTATGGTGATGGTTTGAGATGATTGGATAAAAGGGACTCCTGTATAGGTTTTGTGAAGGTACTTCCACCAATTGAGGGAGACTCTTATTTGACAAGGAAGTGATATGGGTCTGTCTAGATTGTGTCTGTTAGGCAAATAAACTGTTCTGAGCCACACCGGGAAGCAGCAAAAGGGAAGCTTTGCATGATGAATTACAAAGGTACAAGCTGCCATATGTCCCAAAAGTTGGGGATAGTTACTTATTGAAGTTTGCAGGCTTCCTTGAATCACTGTGATAAAGTTTGATAGAGCTGTGAACCTGTCCATGGGGAGGTAAGTCCTGACTCTTACCACATCTGGGGATGCCCCTATGGATTCTATTCTCTGTAGAGGTATCAATCAATGTGGACTTCTTGATACTGAGCTGGAGACCTAGCCTGAGGAACAGAGACAAGGCTGTCTTTATGGTGAAAAGAACTTCATTAGACCCAGCCCTTGATCAGCCAATCACTGAGGTATGGATAGACTGTTATTGGCTTTTGATGAAGATAGGTAGTGACCAATGCCAGCACCTTCAAAAATACTCTTGGAGCAGAGAAAAGTCCAAATGGGAGTACCCGATATTGGAAGTGGTCCTGGCTGACCAGAAAGCGAAGGAACTTCTGTGAGATGGGTGAATTACTATATGGAAATATGCATGTTAATGGTTGAGGGTTGAAAACCAATCCCCAAGATTCAACTATAGAATTACAGCTGCAAGAGTCACCTTCTTGAACTTTTGTGCTTTCACAAAGCTGTTTAAGAGTCTAAAAAGGTCTTCAACATCCATTCTTTTTTGGGACCATAAAGTACTGGGAGTAAAACCCCTTCCCCCCGCCCCCATTTTGTGCAGGAATCCGTTCTATTGCTCCTGAATGTAGAAGGAAGTCAATCTCCTGTCTCAGCAAGTGCTCATTAGAGAGGTCCCTGCAAAGGGACAGGGAAGGGGCTGGGGAGGAGAAAGATGTGAAATGGATGGAGTAAGCCGATCTAATGACCACCAGCACCCAACTGCCTGATGTAATCTTACTCTTGGGGGAATTCTGCACCAAAAAGTTAAAAATTCTGTGCATATTTGAAAATTCTGCAATATTTTATTTGTCAAAATAACAATTTAATCACACCAGTTTCAATTATTTTGGTAATTTATTTAAAAAAACAAATAAAAAAAAATATCTGAAAAAAAAAAAAAAAAAAAAAAAAAAAAAAAAAGATTCAGGAAATGTTTTTTTGACAAATAGATTCCATACTTGGCATATTAATACAGAACTTTCAGTAATAATTAATTTAAACTATAATACAGAAATGTTTTTTGCGCACCCCTCAGAAGCAGTGGAAAGGCTTGGGGAGTCAGGGGTAACAGATGATCCGAGGGAGAGGGAAGTAATCGCTGGGCAGGAGCCTAGGAGTGAACTTGGAGGTTTGTTGTGTGTGGGGGTGGGTGGGAGGGAGAAGAATGGAACAGGTTTTTATTTTGAGGGGAGGGGGAATTGTTAGAGAGTTGGAGAGCCTCCCCCATGCAGACCCTGGCAGGCCCCTAGCCTCTCCCATTCAGTCAGGCACATCTGCCCCAGGCCCATGTGCCCCTGCAGCCACACTCCTCAGTCCCCTCCTATCAGTTCCTGGCTCAATGCTGTCACTCCATTAGCTCCTGAGCCCTCGCCCCAGTCTGTCCCGCGCATTAGCCGTTCTGAACCCCAGTCTATGACGCCCCAGCAGCTCCGTGTGTCCTGCTCTGTCCATCCTGTGCCTCCTCATCCGGCCCTGCAGTGAGGAATGCAGTCTCTCTGCCAGCTGGCTGCCCTATTTTTTGGCGCCACAGCAATCCCTGGTGGGTGAAAAGTGTAACTGCAGCACCTCTCCAGCAGAATCTATATTCTGCTGAGAAAAAAAAATCTGTGAGGGACATGAATTCTGTGTGTGCACAGTGGCGCAGAATCCCCCCGGAGTATAATTTGCTCCCATGCCAGCTGGAAGTGGAAGAGGCGGTTCCTAAAGGGAGGAAGGTGGGTAAACTGATGCAGCAGAAAGATCATAAACTGGGGTTGATCGGGACCCTCAACCAGTCTGTCAAAATTGATGCTCTGAAGTTGAGGGTGGCTGCATGGTTGAAACAGATGTAGTGTGGCTCAGTGGGTCATTGGAAACCCAAGAATTGTGTGGGATAAAATCTGATGCTATGAGATCTACTAAAGCTATGTTTGCTTGCAGACATGTAGATTCCAAATGACTGAAATGTGGCCCTGGAATCCTTCAAGGTCTGCAATTATCTGTCAATTGTCTGCAAAGAGTTTGATTCCACCAAAAAGAAGGTCCTCAACAGTGTCCTGAAACTCCCTAGGGAATCCTGAGAGCTGCAGTCAAGATGCCTGCCACATAACAGTAGCCATGGAGATGGAGTGTGCTGCCGCATCAGCCACATCTAAGGAGGCTAATAGCAAAGTCTGAGCCAATAGCTGACCTTCAGCTATGATGTTCAATAAAAGAAGTAAATTTTGAATAATTGGTGTGATTGTACTTTGCCATGAGCACTCGGTAATTCACAATCCTAAATTGCAAGGGCACAGATTAATAGGTTTTACAGCCAAAAAGGTCCCTGTCATGGCTGTCTGCAGTGTTCATTTACAGCTTCAACTGCCAAAAACTGGGTGCAGGATCTGAAAATAAAAATTTCGAGTCTTTTGCTGGGACAAAGTACTTTTTACCAAGTCTTTTGTGTGTGAATTGCACCATTGCTGGGGTCTGCCAGATGGTTTAGGCACTATATAGAAGGGCTTCATTTATGGGTAGAGCCACTTGTGCACAGAAGGTGACATTTGCAGAATGTTCAAGATTTTATGTTGAGATTCTTGGACCTCCTCTAGTTGGATCTGCAATGAGCCTGCAACCTGTTTCACCTGGTCCTGCAATTCTTTGAACTCATGGCCAGGGAAGGAGGAAGAGGCAACACAGCCTCATCTGTGATGAGGTCATGGTGGTGGGTGGAAAATGTTTCCTCTTGCAACTGAGGAGGCTGAAGTAGGGGACTGCCTGTTCCAATAGTTCTTTTGAGACCAACACTGTTGATGGTAAGTGTCCCAAGGGTCCCCAGTGGGAGGGGAGAGGGGGCGATAAGGCACTGGAGGTGGCACCCATTGATGTTCATACTATGGAGGAGGAGTGGGAGTGTGCCATTCACATGAATAGTCCTTCTCCCTTTAAGTATCAGGGAGGGAGCCCGGTAGCGATAGGTAGGGGAATATTGGATAGAGACATGGGAATCAGATAAAAAATCCTCTGCGATGTCTAGAGAGGAGCCCTACCTTGCTCCAAAACTGGTGGAAAATCCAGTGGTAGCAGAAAGATTTGTAATTCTGGTGACCATGACAATCCTGGTACTGATAGGCGCTTGGTACCCATTAAAAGGGGAGATACTGGCTCATCAGAGACATGCAGATCTTTGGAATACCTAAAGTCCTGTGGTACCAGATGAGAGAATGAAGATAGAAGAGAAACCTACTTTGATGAGTCCTTTGTAGAAGTGTGAGTACCAATGATTCTGGATGCCTCAAAGAGTGTGACACCTGAGGCAATTTAACCTTCCGTGGTACTGAGGTGGTCATGTGGCTAGGCACAGAAGGTTGCATAGGAGGGTCCATTGGTACTGCTAGTAGCAGGTCTGTTTCTCCCTGCTGCTTCAATCATGCTTAGGTGGTACAAAAGACTGTTTAGGCATCAAAGTATGTTTGGAACCGTAGTTCTTAGATGAACTCAGTGTCTTGGAGATCTATCAGTACTGAAGGAGTCTGAAGTCTCAATAGTACCCAACAAGTGATGGAGGATTCAGAAACAGCTAGTTTCAGTGGAGACAGATATTTTTGAAATAGACTGTCTATAAGGAGAACTGGAACTCCTTTTCTTAGAGGCCTTCCCAGTACCTTTTGATGATTTCTCCTTCAAAGGTCTGGGTGAATGTGGTGCCGATACAGATGGGGCAATAAGCTCACCGGGTGGCTGATGCACACAGTGGGTCCCCTGACCTGAATCAGAGGCATGATGAAGAGAGCGCTCCATCTTGAAAAGTTTGAGTCTGATCTGTCAACTTTTTTCTAGTCCTGCTCTTGAGGGCTACATAGAAGTTACACTTTTGAGGGATGTGCATATCCCCCAGAGACTAATATAACAGGAATGTGTCACTGAGCAGGATAGTGTTTGGGCAAGTGAGACAGTGCTTGAATCCTGGTGATCCCAGCATACCCATGTAAAGGAGGGAAAGGGTCTCGTGGTCTCCCAGAGGGCGGAGGTAGTAAGGGGAAAAATGAGGGAATAAAATAAAGACCCTCCAAATGAAAGATATAAATTAAACAAAACACTAATAAGGGCTAAACTAAACTAGAAGGCAAGCTTAACAAATAGCCAAGTGGGAAGGCTAAACACTCCATCTCCGGCCCAGGTGGTTGAAAAGGAACTGAGGACAATTGGCCCATGCAGCCCTATACAACCTCTGTGTAGGCATGAGGATGCTTAGGGAGCATGCACGGGCTGAACAGGCATTGCTACTGAAAGTCTCCAATGGAAGAAAAATGCCACACCTGAAGTGGAGCATCCATAAGGACGCTACTCAAAGATTACTTAGCTGGAAGTATACTTCCCCCACAATATTATCTCCCGAAATCTTCAGAAGAGAAGTAAAGTTACTGCATTTGTGTTAATTTAAGCAGACCAACTGATTACAACTGTTGTGAAGACTCATATAAAGAACTCTTATTCCAGGAGTGTTCTCTCTATTCCTTCCATAATGTTGTCCTTGATTGGTTAATCCTCTGGATAGCAAGAAACATACATTACCACAGAATTCAAAGATCCATGGATTTTTTTCCCAAGTCCATTCCCTTGACAGGAAAGGACTATGCCCTATAAGGTATTTTCTAAGTGTCCAACTTCGTTCAGTCGCCTGTTATATGTTTCAAGCATTGTGGTTTCTACTACTTCCCTTGGAAGACTGTTGGAAAATATTTATTGTAATATTGCAACACCAGAAAATTATTGCCAACCCCTAAGCAATAGTCTATCATTTGAACGTTCATAAAAAGTAGAATCCGAGTGAAATGAAGGCAGATGCATAACTTTGGGAAAAGATTTGGAGGAAAATTGGTTTTTGATGAATATTGAAGAGGAATGCTTCAACATTGGTAACGTGATAAAAAAATATTAGATTATATTTAGTTTTGGAGTAGATCTTTAAAAGCTTAAGAAAGCCAGGGTTTGAAATAGTATAATGCTAGAAAAGGTATGATGAGAAAGTTAATATATTTAAAATATTGTGAAATTGTTGAAGGATAAAATCTTTTTGGATGCAGGTACTGAGCGCACACATATGATTATACATAATCCAACTAGGATGTATCTTGGTCTGAGGTGATATGATACCCTACATAGTTTTGAAAAGACAAGGAACAGCAAATAGTGTAACAGTACTTTGGAAAATATTTTTAAAACTTGTATCAAGATTGACTCCAATTATTTTGAAACAAACTGGAGGATATGAGATAATGCTGAAGTTTTTGTTTTAAAATTAAATATATGGAAGAGAAAGTAGGAGAATGACGATCAAGAACGAAGACTGGTGATAGTAATCGTTAAAATCTTCTTGTCATTTGCAAATTAACATTACTGTCATTCTCTCTAACACAAGTTATGTGATCGCTTTGGTAAAAGGCAAATTTGTAAAGATTTTAATGGCCATCACTCACTATATGATTTGGTATGGTTTCTGTGTCTCCTCCGTTTATAAATTAAGATAATACTTCTTTAGTGACATTTACCTATCTGACAATGCTCTACATTCTCTGGAAATGTTAACAAATCTCTGGCAAATACAGGGTTTCCAATAGGTCTGAAGTGATTTCTTCCATTTCGTAAGTGAGGTAAAGTCCTGGTTTTAAAAAAAAAAGACAAATTACATTTTATTTTATTCTACCATTGTTTTTGACACACTAATCAGAAACACGAAACTATACTTGATCTACATATTAACACTTCAATGCCAGGACTTGGAAGTTCCCAACCTTAATACATACATATCACCTGAGGAAACCCAAATTCCTAGTGATATATAATTGAACTGATCTGACTTAAAGAGTTACTTTTGAATGTAACAGTCCTATGTAGGCCAGATTTGATACACTGTTTTACAAATAGCTGAAAAACCATGTTTTTTGTTTTATCTCCCACCCACCCAAGATACTTAAGTACAATTGTGTTTAAAAAGCAAATGCATATAATGTTATCTATTTAAATTGATTAGTTCAGTTTCTTTTTGGGGCATAGCTGAAACCTGAAATTCTACATTGCATCTTCTCCTTCCAGGAAATGGATCAGTATAGTAATTTGAATGACTACAGATGATTTCTGGGAACATGCTCGTGATTTGAACGGGAAAAGTTAGGGTTTCAAAATACTAAGTGATAAGTCCAAATACCTAATTCTATGTACCATAACATTATCCAATAATGTTTTATTAATTGTAAAGGAGTTATATACGGTCTCCTGTACTATAAGAGAAAAGCTTCTTATAGAATATAGAAAATAACAATACAAAGTTAAATTTACAAAACTGGGATATTACTTAAGATTTTAAGCTACATTCCTGCTAGTTAACATGATTGTGAAGACATTTTCTAATTAGAATTCTTTGCTAATATAAAGGTTAAACAAAATTAGAAAAAAAAATATAGTGAAGGAAAAGTTTTCCAGGAAAACAGAAGTACAATTTTTTTCCTTTACCTGTTCCAATCCGGGAGAGTCTTCTTGTAAACAGAATCAAGAGGCAAGACTTGCTGTCGACCCTGGGTTTCATCAAAGATACGACGAGCAGCAGCAGTAGTTAGGGTGACTACACAGTCCATATCACTAGCCATATGCCAAGAGATGACCTTCGCTGCTTTGTCATCCTCAATCTGTGCTAAATGTGCAATCTGTACAAGAGAAGTAAAGAATACTTGTTGGAAACAAGATCACTCATGTTTTTCCTGCTATCCACAATCCCTCTTCAATTGAAGGCTCATTACAATAACTGGGCAATTTTGATGGGATGCTGTTGGCACCCCTTTCTGGAGGCTGCTTTTCCAGAGGTTACTTAGAAGCTTGTTTAGGAGCTTACTGACTGAACAGCTTGAAGTTCTTCACCATGGAATTGTTGTGAAAAGGACTAACAAAAAACTCACCTTCCCTAAAATATCCTGATTGTCTTTGGGATAGTTTGAAAGGGTACATGCTCTTCTTGGAGATTTCTTTACTCCTTCTTGCTCCAACATCTTTTGTTTTATGAAAGAATCAACATATTGCAACTGTAAATTAAAATTGAAAGTTAACAATTGTATATCATCTCATCTTGTACAGAAAGATTTTACCTAGCTGTAAATCAGGTTTCTGCTGTGAAGCATACAACAATCTGGACCAGACTTAGTATGGCTCTATTCTAGTTGGTGTCAGAGGAAAACAAGAGGTGGCATCACAACTATGGTCCTTTTGCTGAAAGAATTCAGGTACCTATTTCATTTTCCATCTGTCAGAATGGTTAATTGCTTCATGAGGAAATGAAGGTGCCTGCCTTAAGCCAAGACAGAAGAGGAACTGAAGAAAGTGCAAGAGCCAGAGGGAAGGATTGTAGCTGGGCGGTGAGAACAAAATTTTGGAAGGCTGCAATTAGGCTCTCTGCCTAAAGGTTAAGCTAACAGAGGGAAACCAACTGGCCAGACTGTTGAATGCATAGAAAAACAATTGATTTTATTGGTTCATGATGAAATAATATATATTATTTATAACCTTCATTTCTATATTCAATTATTTCAATAATGAACTCAAAACTTTACCAATGCAAGATGTCTCAATAGATTCTTTAAAGAGTAACTGATCTTTCAGGAACAACAAGGAGTCTGGGGGCACCTTAAAGACTAACAGATTTATTTGGGCATAAGCTTTCGTGGGTAAAAACCTCACTTCTTCAGATGCATAGAGTGAAAGTTACAGATGCAGGCATTATATACTGACACATGGAGAGCAGGGAGTTACTTCGCAAGTAAGAAGAAGTGAAGTTTTTACCCACGAAAGCTTATGCCCAAATAAATCTGTTAGTCTTTAAGGTGCCACCAGACTCCTTGTTGTTTTTGTAGATACAGACTAACACGGCTACCCCCTGATACTTGATCTTTCAGGGAAATTGATAATGGGAGATATTGTACTGAACCTCTAAATTACTAATTTTAATTCAGCATTGGTCAGTGTGTGAAATGTATAATCATCTGTATAATATTATAAATAGCAATCCTCAAAACTGGCACTTCTACTGGTAGTCTTTGCCGAGAAGCAAGGACTACATATGGACAGATACAGCTAACTACTCACCTTCAGAAATGGTCCCTTCAAATAAGTTTTAAGGCATATTGACAGAACAGTAAATGAAAGCTTGCTTTACACATAAGGAATTAAGCACAGTTTTTGGCACTACTTTATATAAGTGACCCATTAAGTTTACACCTTAGAGTTTTGGTAGATAAGTATGTATGGATTACACATTTTATTTGATTCTTTGATATAACACAAGCTGAGAGTTGGCTTTACTTGTACAGTGTTAAATATGTTGCTTGTTGTGAAATAAACAATTTAAAAGGAAATTAAAAAGCCATACTATGCTTGTCTGTGGAATATCAATTTGATGCTTTTTCAGTTCATTCTTCAGGTGAGACTGTCTTGTTTCAGCTTCCTGGACCTGATCTGAAACAATTTAATAATCAACACTTAGCGTGGTAGGTAATGTTGGAATGGAAAATTTATTACCCAATGAGTTCTCTTCTAGGAGTATTCCTTCCCCTTGTCAGAGATATTTCCATTATTATTGCTTTCCAGTGTATACTGGACACACCTCAGATTTGATCACAAGAGTCCTGGGGTTGGCCAGACTGCAAACAATTTCTCTTCAAATAAGTGCTCCCAATTATATTGAAACAGCTTTGAAAACAAAGAAGTAAACCCAACAATTTTGTTGTCTTATTCTCCATTCAATCTAACAAATCAAAACAAAATGTTTTTAAAAACAATGCATACATAGTGCACTGCTCGCGTCCAGATCTCCTATCTTAGACAGAAACGTCTGAAATCTGAGAATGCTCCTAAAAGTTCCTCTACCACAAGTATCAGAACCCAGCTTTGCATCGAGAGCCCATATTAGAACTACACCTATGGAATTTAACCCTGATCTTAGTACTGCAATGAGCAAACGTTTCTTATAATTTATCAATATTCTTCATTTATCTTATATTAGCAATTAACAATGAGAGAAAGTTCAAAATATCTGGCATATAAAACAAATGAAACATTTGGGTCAATAAGAAGGCTGATCCAAACAAAGTAAGTTTAAGAATAACCAAAATGTACAAGTATACTTTTGTTACTTTTATTTATCTCACTCTTTCATGTAAGCCTTCCCTACATATCTAACTGACGGGCTTCTTCCTTAACCTCTTTTTATAAACAATTATGACTGCTGTAGGGACACACAAACATATACAACCAACATACTTTTGGGAGTTATGGTCTCTAGGGTGAGGGGAGAAAAATACATTATGAAACTTTAGGTATCCACTTTTGAAAGTGTTGGCTTTAAGTTAGGTCCCTAAATTTATATTTAGGGGACTAAAAGGCAGTCTTGATTTCCAGCAAGCTGAGCACCCACAGCTCTCATCGAAGAAATGAAAGTGCTCAGAAGCTGTGAGAATTAGGGTACTGATTTAAGAGCCCATCTTTAGGCACCCATGTTAGAAAACTTTGGCCTAAGGATTTTGCCTCACGTCAAGATAACTGCTAGACTTTTTATATGTACACCTACTCAAATAACCAGATGCTTTTCTCCCAATGCAACAAACACTACTTTTTTCCAAAATAAACTGTAAAATTTGTTTCCTCATTTTTCAGTTTTGATATTTACAATCTCTTTAATATCAAAATCATAATAGGAAAAAACTAGTTTCCTTCCTGAGAAAATATAGTTAAAACATATTTTTTTTATTTTAAAGGTATATATGTAAATGACATGACTTACATTTCATTTCAGTAATAAGCTGCTCAGTGGTATCAAACATATTTCTGTATAAAGCTATTGACTTAGATAGTTCGTCTCTCTCTCTTGTAAGCGTCGCCATCTGCTGCTGTTTCTTAAAATCTAAATTTTTTAAACACATCAACATTCTGTTAACAATACTAACAGAAGTACATATTAAAATGTCACACAGCCTGATGTAGAGAAAAGATGCCCAAAACCAACATGGATTTTTTTGGGGGTGAAATAAAAGTCAAACTTTAGGAATGAGAGAATGAGAAATATTTTGAAGCTACTTTTGAAACTCACCATTGTAAAACATAAATGATAGACGGTATGGTTCCAGAGGTTTTGCCAAAGCTGGTAAGTCTGCCTCAAATTCAAGAATATATTCAGTGCTATCTCTTCCAGGGCTGTTTTCTGCCAGCACTAGATTCTGTAGAAACAAATATACACACATCATATAACACGCACAAATATAGCACAACAAATAAAATTTGACTTATGAATTTTTCCTAGTCAAATATCACATCGCTGACTAAGTACTATTTATAAAATATGGATAAAGTTTTAAATATTGACTTTGAAATTTATCAATAACTATCTTTTATCCTTAATTAACAATATTTATAATTTCTTTTCTTAATAAAAATTTGAAGATTAAACACTCTATACCTTAAGTTTAAGGACTAAAATATCAGCTTTACTTTGTGAAAGAATTGTAGTTTTAACTATATGTTTTATCAGTAAGATCAAACATTTAGAAAAAAATACACCTTATACTCTCTCCCATAAGTAAAATTTTCCTGGAAGTATTAGAGTGCATTTGTATCATGTGAACACAATGCAAACACAATGGGAAACTAGGCCAAATATATAAACCCAGGTAAGAAAAGCACCTAACTCCCAATGCTGAGCTAAAGTTGCTGCTGTTACTATGGAAATAGACAGTAGGTCCCAAGTGAATGAACAAAGTTATGACAGATGGAGAAGTCATTTTATTATTAAAGGGCACTTTCTCTAAGATGAAAATTAACCTGCTTCCAAACATACTTCTAGTCAAGATGGAATGCTGCCAAAATTTAAGAATATCCCTGAATTTCTGATGCAAAATTATAGTTGAATAAAAAGTTAAAAGCTGTTTCACAACTAACAAAGACCTCAATCCTGCAAACACTTAATGCACATGAATAGACCCATTGAGTTCAATGGGTCTACTCATGTACATTAAGTTATATGAAACCAAAAGGCTCTCAGCTACTATAAATGGGAGCACTGGTGGTTATTAAGGCTACGTCTACATTGCCAAGTAAAGGTATGATTGTAGCATGGATAGGCATGCCTGTGTTAGCTTTAATGGGTAACAAAAATAGGACAGATGTGGCGGCATGGACTTCAACATAGGCTAGCAATTAGAGTACCAGTCCTCAAAGGTGTGTCTACACTGCATTTTGGACCATGCCTGCCAGCTCAGGTAGACAGACTTGCTAGCACACTAAAAACTGTAGTGTGGATGCTGCAGCACTTGCAGCAGCTTGGGCTAGCCACCCGAGCTTGGTCCCAGGAGTCAGATGGGTTAGTCTGAGTTGCCACCAGTTCCACAACATCCACACTGTTATTTTTAGCCAAGCTAGCACAAGTCTGTGTATCTGGGCTGGCAGGTAAGCTCCCAGCTGCAGTGTAGACGTGCCCTCGAGGGCTGGTATTCTGATTGCTAGCCTGTGCTGAAGTCCAATACAACAAACACTACTTTTTTTGTAGTGTACACCATCCTGCTATTATTACCTGTGATAGCTATAATAAAGCTAACACAGGGTATGCCAGACCATGCTACAATCACATCTTCACCTGGCAATGCAGATATACCTTTAAACAACTCGACCTGCTACTGGAAGGAGAAGGAATACAAGAGTCACTGAAGATGGTCACTACCGAAGTACTCCCTCATTCCCTCAAGGGAGAGAGGGGGACAACAGGAGTTCCTGTCCAAAGCAGTAGGATCTTACCATGCCAGAATGAAAGAACAAGCAGGACAGCTGAAAACCAGGGAAAGAAAGAAGGTTTATAGCATACGCAGAGGGAGACTGTAACATTGTCAGCTGCTGTTGAGGCAGGAAGAATGGAGTTTGGCTGCCAAACTGGCTCTTTGAGAGCAGGTGCTAGTGGTTAGAGAGAGACATTTTTTTATTTCTGCTTCCAGAAGCTAGTGTGAAGCACTATCCAGCATTTTCCTCAAGACTGGCACTCCATGAAATTAAATAATTTCCCCCCTCCCCACTGAAAAGTTTTAAATAAACTGTTCAATATAAAAGAAAAACTATTCTAGGACTAAGAGGATAATATACTTCTTGTGATGTCACTCACACATTCCATTTCCATGTTTCAAGAAGATCTTAATATGTTTAGCTTATCAAAAAGAAGTCAGACAGGTGAATTGATTAGAGTGTATAAGTAATCTTCATGAGGGGAAAATGCCAGGTACAAAAGAGCTCTTATCTAGTGGAGAAAGGCGTAACAAGAACTAACGGCTAGAAATTGAAACCAGACAAATTCAAATCAGAAATAAAGCACAAATTTTGAATAATGAGGATAACTGACCATTGGAACAAACTACCAAGGCAAGTGGTGGATTCTTGATGTCTCCAAATCAAGAATGGATGCTTTACTAGACAGCCTGCTTTAGTCAGAGCAACTTATTGGGCTCAATACACAGATAACAGTGATATTTGATGGCCTCTGATATACAGGAAGTCAGATTAGATAGTTTCATGGTCCCATTTAGCCTTAAAATCTATGAATTTATGAAAAAAAATCAAGGAATTCCATTAAAAAAAAATTAAAGTTACTGAAATGTTACCTACAAATAAAAATACATTTTTCATTGTGATTAAATCAAACACTTACAACGATTTCAGCAGATCCTCTGTTAAATGGAAACTCAATTGTTTTAACTTTCCCCTGAAAGACTGGGATCTCTGTATCTTCTTCACTGGAACTCTTAATTGCAGCTACTATCTTGCCAACCAAATCATTTCCTGTACGGTTGTTGTATTCATCCTTAATAAAAAAGAACAAACAAAAATGAGTTTGTGTAGGTCATGAATAAGAATTGCACTGAATATTTAGGGCAGCAACCCCCGCCCCCAAACTCTTTGCTAGCATGACCCCATTTTAATGAATTATTTCCTCCTGAGACCCCAGACAGCATCTGAAGATGCCATTTTGTAGAGCAAAATGACATCCTCTATACAGCTTGACCTCACGAGCAAGCATGAGTGAGATCACACTGCACGGAACAAAGTGGTGTCCTTCATGCACTAGGGACTGCCACGACTCCATCTGCTGATGGCGCAATCCAGTTTTGGAACCCTTGATTTAGGGTAAATGTTGTTATAGGAGTCACCAGGTTGCGCTGTTACACAACCTTTCAAACTCTTTCTTAGCATGTGAGGAAAGGTTAAGGCTTGGGAAGATAGAGTGTGGTGGTAGTTTTTGTTATGTAAAGTTCTAGGTAAAAGCTGTGGATCTTGGAGAGTAGAGCTGCAGCTCACAGGAGCACTAGCCAAAAGTTTCTATTCAGGCTTGACAGGATTTTTCACCCCTGGTTCTGAAGACGCCTTCATTGATCATTCCAGTAGAAAGAGCTTTCTGGGTCCACTTGGAGAGGGATCAATAGAGCATTTGTCAGGAATGTATCCCTCACCAAGGAAAAACAAGCACCTCAATGCCCGTTGAGTGAAACAGCAGCATCACAAAAGGGGCAAGTTTTAAATCCCAGGGAATTGTTTCAGCCATATTGGCGAGGGTTCCGGAATTGGGAGTATTCCCTAATGCATTATAAAGGTTTTTGTTTTTTTTGGCTAAGGCGTGTAAACAAACTAGTAAATATACTATCTACACTTACTAGCTAACAAGAGATTGCACGGTGTGCAGAGTAAACAGACGCTGTGGAGGTTCTGTCTTGTTGCAATGGCAGTAAGAAGGAACTGAGGGATGGTTGTTCTTCTCAGCCCTTTATGTCCTTGGGTTGGAGCCATGAGCATATCTAGGGTGCAGAGGCAGCACCAGCAGATACTACTAGCTTAAAAGAATCTGATCTCACATTCATGCAATACATGTGCACCAGAAGTGAAATATGTGGATAATCACTTGAAATAGTAGTAATGGTACTCAAATTTGTTTTGCAGAAGTTATCTACTGTCCAGAGCTTAAAGCATCTGGCCACTGAACTGGTTGACACTGGTCTCACAACAAGGATCATGGAATTTGCCATAGATGTGGGGATTGAATATTTTTAGGACATTACATCAGTTACTGGCACTTTAGCAAAGCATTTGGTTGACAGTAGGGCTCTGAAAAGGCTTTGAAGTCCCTTCTAAGGGTGGCTTCTAATTTCCTGTCTACAGGGTCTCTGGAAAAGACATCCCTCTTAACAGGAATTATCCATTATCCTCTGGTAAGGATGTCACCACTGAATCAACTCTGGAGATCACGAAGACAAATTTCTTCCATTCTGGGGCCTGCATAACCTCAAGATTTGCTAACTAAGTCACAGTCTATTTTCAGGAGTTCCCCACTCCTCCCTAATGACTTCTGAAGGTTTTAGTTTTGGATGGGAGATATTTATTATCGGCTTTAGTCTGTGCATATGCTTTCTCTGGCAGGATCTATAAGGTGGGTGCACAAATGGTTGAAAGACCATACTCAGAGTAGTGGGAGGACATATCTAGTGGGATGCTACATCTGACACTATTCAATATTTTCATTAATGACTTGGATAATGGAGTGGAGAGCACGGTTACAAAATTTGTAGATGACACCAAGGCAGAAGGGATTGCAAGCACTTTGGATGATAGCATTAGAATAGCTGACAGCCTAATTAGCCCGGGGCTACAAACAGGCCGAGGAAGGAAGCCGGGGGAAGCCAGAGAGTGGAAGGAGAGGGGTAACTCTTCCCTCCTGGGTGCAGAGGCTGAGAAGTCCTTAAAGCTGAAATCCCCAAGCTGTATATGGTGAGGTGGTGGGATTGCATGCTGTAAATAAACTGGACCAGTGATTGCTGGGCCCCAGGGTCTCTGAGAGGCTCAGAGGAACAGAGCAGAGGCAGGAGCAAATGGGGCCCTGCTACATCTCAGTGCTTTGAGCATTGGCCTGCTAAACCCAGGGTTGTGAGTTCAATCCTTGAGGGGGCCAGTTAGGGATCTGGGGCAAAAATCTGTCTGGGGATTGGTCCTGCTTTGAGCAGGGGGTTGGACTAGATGACCTCCTGAGGTCCCTTCCAACCCTGATATTCTAGGATCATTTAAAAATCTAGAAAACCTGACTTATGAGGAAAGGTTAAAAAAAAAAAAAAACTTGGCATTTTTAGTCTTGAGAAAAGAATACTGAGAGGGAACCTGAAAAGGATCTTCTAATTTATGAAAGGCCTGTTATAAAGAGAACAGTGATCAATTGTTTTTCATGTCCACTGAAGGTAGGACAAAAAGTAATGGGCTTAATCTGCAGCACAGGAGATTTAGGTTAGCTCAGGGGTAGGCAACCTTTCAGAAGTGGTGTGCCGAGTCTTCATTTATTCACTTTAATTTAAGGTTTTGCGTGCCGGTAATAGATTTTAACGTTTTTTAGAAGGACTCGCTCTATAAGTCTATATTATATAACTAAACTATTGTTGTATGTAAAGTAAACCAGGTTTTCAAAATGTTTAAGAAGCTTCATTTAAAATTAAATTAAAATGCTGATCTTATGCCGCCAGCCTGCTCAGCCCGCTTCCAGCCTGCGGTTCTGTTCAAACCACTGAGATGTAGCAGCGGGCTGAGCAGGGCCTGCGGCTGGGACGCCGGCTGGCAAGGGGCCGGCAGACAGGACCCCAGACCCGGGGGGGGGTCAGGGGTCAGGGCAGAGGACAGTGGGGATGGGGGGGGGGGGAGGGGAGAGGGGGGGGGGGGGGGGGGGGGGGGGG